GTGACTGCTCCAGGGGAAAGTCATCGCGCTCAGAGAGGATAGATCTCTCTAGAGTGCTCTGTTCCCCTACAGCAGTACCCAGAGGCCCCGGTACAGCATCTCCCACCTGAACCACCGCTGTCTTCCCCTTCTGCTTCATTTCCCAAGAGGCATCCGCACACAAAAACCCCAATAACTTCCCAAAGCCTGGCCAATCAGTTCCCAGAATTAGCGGATGCCGGAGGTGCGGGTTAACTGCTACCTCCACCCTATGTTTTTGTCCCCTAAATAGAATCGCCACAGACATTAAAGGATAGCTCACCACCACCCCGTGCACACACCGAACCTTAACCATGCGGCTTTTATCCAATGCCCCAGACTGAATCAGGCTTTGATGAATGGAGGTTTGGTTACATCCTGAATCCACCAAAGCCTGATAAGTACCCCCCTTGATACTCACAGGTATCTGGTACTGACCAGCTTGATCGGGGGCGGCCCGTGGCGCGTCGGGGACCCGTACCAGCGTCCCCACCTCCATCACTGGACACCGGTCGATAAAGTGGCCCGGGTCCCCACAGCGCCAACAGGCCGGCCCAGGCTTTACCGCTGTCCCAGCGGCGGGAAGCGGGCCAAGGGATTGGCGTGGGGAGAGCGGCGCCACCGGAGCCAGGGTGGAAACATCCCCAGCAGACGTCCCCCTCGGAGTGGCCCTCCCGGTGGAACTGGTATCCCCCGACCACCCAGACCTCCATCTCGGCGCTGGTCTGGGCGCCAGACCTCCTCGAGACCTGGGAAGGGGAACAGGTTTGCCAGAGGGGGAAGAGAGAGAGGATGGAGAAGGTAAAGATAGAGAGGGAGAGAGAGAGACAGCCGGTAGGGGCTCGCCGACCCCCGAGCACGCCACCATGTGATCTTCCGCCAGTTGGATGGCCTGGTCCAGCGACGTCGGGCGGTGGCACTGGACCCATTGTGCAGTCTTCTTGGGCAGCTTCCCGATAAACTGCTCCAGTACCACCTGGTCGATAATCTTCTCGACGTCGCTTCCCACGGCCATCAGCCATCTGCGGCAGGAGTCCCGGAGCTGTTGCGCCATCACGAAGGGCCGACCGGACTCCTCTAGGGTCAAAGACCTGAAACGTTGCCGGTGCTGTTCAGGGGTCCGGCCGACCCGCTGAAGAATGGCGCGCCGTAGATCTTGATAGACCAGGAGATTCGAGACTGGCAGTTGGTGGGCTGCAATCTGCGACTCACCGGATAACAGCGGGATGAGCCGCAGTGGCCAGTCCACTTTAGGCCACCCCCGGGCCTCGGCCGACCTTTCAAACAGGTCCAGAAACGCCTCCGGTTCGTCTTGTGGACCCATTTTCCCCAGCGTGAGCGGCGGGGCCGAGGCCGACTCTGGAGAGGGGGTGGCTGGAATCTCCCGGTCAAAACAGCTCAGGAACAACTCGCGGTCTTCCTGCTGGCCTTGGAGCAGCACCCGAAAGCGCTGCTCATGCTCGTCCTTTACGCTCAGCAGTGCCTGATGTTGTTCCCTTTGAAGAGCCGCGAGTGACTGGATGATCTCCGCAAATGGCGATCCTGACGGGTTCTGCATGGCGGCGGCAGTCTCCTTCTTCCCGGGTTTTCGGCACCAGTGTAACGAGGTTCAAAGTAGTGTGGTGGGAAGAAGAAGACAGGGTCGGCGAAACTGGAACTCGTACGGTTTTTATTACTCAGAATAGTTCAAACAAAAAGAAGCGCACACAGCGCATTCACCGTAGCGTGACTACAGCACAGTAAAATAAACAAACTCTTTCCACTTCTATGTCGTTCCGGTCTCAGCTTCTCCAGTTACACAGCTCTCGCACGAGTTCCAGTCCTTTCTCTCTCCCCCGCATTCTCCCACTGTGTGGCTTTTATCGGTCTCCCCACGCCAATCACTGCAATCAGACACAGGTGTTCATCATCTGCACTTGACCTACTTACTCACCGCACAGCTCATTGACTGATCTCCCACTACAGACGTCGCGAGAACCACGCCCCCCTCACCACAGAAGCCTACCCGGAAGTGCGAAAAACTGCAATACATCGAAAATCCGCTAGAGGGAGGTCCCAAAAGGGAGCAAATATCCGTTTTCACAGCATAAATTCATATGTTTACATGTTGGTCCCATGGACTTTTATTGTATTTTTGGATAGGTCCCGAGTGCCTGACAACTGTGAGGGGGGTGAATTTTTTTCTAACACGTTAGTTTAGATCATATTTAGATATAAAATGTATGCCAAATAAGGGCGTGGTTAACTTTGATTGACAGCTTGATTGACAGCTGATAACGGGCTGCACCGAGTAGACAACACAATACATCATACCACCTCTGTATCCTTTTTGAACATTTGTATTGAAATATCGTAAGTTACATAAAATGGGTTGCTCTGCTATAAACTGCACTAACCGACACTGTAGGAGGAGGACTTCGCTCCATTTTTTCCGGTAAGTGACTTTCCACTACTATTTCATGTAGTTAGCATTATTTAGCATCAATGTTTGTGGCCAGTGGCACTGTAACAGTTAGCTAGCATTAAATCGCCTCAGATAAGTTAGCGTCCGAGGTACTAGGGTTACCGTTCCGTATAATACAGTAACTTTTATAGTCATGCTGCTGACAATTAGCTGTATAACGTTAACACCTTCATTGATTCATTATTTGGGTAGATGATAAGCAGTGTGCATTTTTTGGTTCATTGAACTAAAGGACAATTTCGTTATTTTACACTTAAAGCCCTGTTTTAAGATCGTTTCTGATGAAATAGAACGGTTAAGATTACAATTTGGACACATGATACGTATAATACGGAATCGTCCCGTATTTGACACATAAAAGTCTTGTTCCGTATTGAACTGATACGGAACGCACTTTTTGGCAAAATGATCATGATAGCCTCTATGTGGTTGTTTAGTCTTGTATATTGATTAGGCTAACTTTGCTATTCTATAAATATATAGGCCTAATACGTTGTATTATAATATGCTATAATGTGTATGATAGAATACAATATTCACCAAAAGTCATCATTTCAGGGGTTATTTTTAAAAACATTATTCCGTGGGGACATGTCATCACCACCTATTTTTTAGTCTTTAGTCATTTTTTTGTGCACAGACATGGTTAACTTTCTACTTAACTAGGCCATAACATTTGCATTATATTTACCAGTGTTTCTGTTTTCAGATCAGCCTACGGTGTGGAACAGTTTGAAATTCTAACAGATGGAGCAAAAGCCATAGCCTGGTAATACCAAACTCTGCTACTTCGCTTTGCTTCAATGAAATTGAGCGGAAGTACGAAGTCTGACGTAGTCAGGCTAACTTCGCTTTGCTTCATAGACAGAGTCTGGCATGGCATCATTGAAAAGTGTTTTCTTTATCGCGGGGGGTTGGGGTTGTGTGTGGGGGGGGGGGGGGGGGGTTGTCTGAAGTATAAAATCATTGGTTACCCGTAACTTAAGCCAATCACATAACGTTTGGTTATGACGTGTGTTATTCGCCAGCTCAGCCGCATCGAACTTCCACTGTAAACACATGTATGATGCGAAAACGAAACCATCGAGCGAAATACCGGAGTGAACATGGCTGACCGAGTTTTGCTGCCTCCTTAACCTGATCCTGAGTGCAACCAAGGGGGACACAATCACAACTATCGCCTTGCTTAAATTTTTACCAAAACCTGTTGGGAGTAGGGCCACGACATCACATCCATTCAAAATGTTTAACAAACACTCTTCTTGTTCGGGCTTCAGTTTGGAAATGCCGGGAAATATTCTCCACAGCAGAGCGAATTGCATCCCGTGTCTCCATATCCGCGGTCGTTTTCGATTTCCCCAACCTTAAACTCGGCGCTTAGCGTCTACGTCACGGCTCTCAGCCCGCCCTCTGTTCGTTGATTGGCCGTCTGTTTTCAGGCCGGAGGAAAACTGAGAGACATGTCGATGTCTCAGACTAAGTACAGAAGCGAAATGAAATTGAGCGGAAGTACGAAGTCTGACGTAGTCAGGCTACAAAAGCCATGCTGACCAGTGGAAACTTCTGATTTCAAAGACTTTTCATCAGATCAGTGCCATTCAGACACTCAGCAATGTTATTTAAAAGAATAACTGGGACTGGGTAAACTCCATAAAGATCAGTGCTATTTCACAATACTGACTATTTACTTGCTTACAACATTGTGTTATTTACCTGTAATGCTCAAGACATAAATAAAAATGCAAATTTACTTCCGCATCTTGGTCTTCACTTCAACCTACTGATTGTTTTTGTTCCTACTGCAATTTAATTGTAAATGTTTGACAGCATAGACAAAACTGGTTTGATAAAAGTTTTATTTAGTTAAATGTCAGTCACAGCTGATCAAAAAGTTCCATAAACATTTGTAAGTGTTTTAATTTTCAAGTTCAGTGCCATCAACAGTAAGTTGACGTAACAGACATTAGTTTGGCATAAGTAAAGGGAAGGGTGTAACAGTCCATCAGTCCTAGACAAAAAAGTGACATGTACAGTTTCAATGGGTTCAATATCATCATCATTTGTTAGAAAAGTGTTAGAGGTTAGAGCCCAGGGACCTCCTTGCCACCTCCTCTCCACGGCGAACATAGCTGTCCCCCATGATCCACACAGTGGGAACTGCAAAAATAGAAAGGTAAACATTTCAATACAGTGTAGCCTACAATGTAATTATGCAATACAACACGATAGTGCCATCTAAAGGCCCGTACACACCGGGACGAATATCGGCGCGCGTTATTCGTCAGCGTTTTTCAACGCGTTTTTTGTGTTCACACCCAAGCGATTTTCGCTGACGATGAGCCGAGTGAACATGCAAATTCATTCCCTGACACTAGATGGCGCGTAATGCAAAACAGAAATACCCCGGTACACAAGGTGGCGCTGCGCAACTTTTACGCTTCTGATACTCGCTTTCACCTCCGATGAAGAGAGCAAGTTTTTACGCGCATGTTTACGCGCTTTTCTAAATCAGACAAAGAAAACATGGAAATTTCAAGCACCAGTAGCTCCAGCTCAAGCTCCAGTGATGAGGAACTTATTATTCTGATGAATGAGGAAAGCCGCCGGAAAAGACGCCGATATTGGATACATCCCATAGCTACGAGAAGAGAAGAACATGGGGAGTTTTATCGACTGGTACAAGAGCTGAAAATGTATCATGAGCGTTTTCGGGGGTATTTTAGAATGTCCGTCAGTGAGTTCGAAAATTTACTTCAACAACTGGCTCCCTCGCTGACAAAAGAACAGACACACTACCGTAAACCGATCGATCCAGAACAGCGTTTGGCCGTGTGTTTACGGTGAGTTCGTTTACATTGTTATTCACTTCAATGAATGTAAAAACTTAAGTGAAACGTTGTTAAAAACTAGTATTTGTCTATTCCTATTTCAGTTTTCTGAGCACTGGGGACTCGTACCGCACTATTGCGTCCAGCTTTCGACTTGGTGTGTCAACTGTGGCTTCGATAGTGAGTGAAACCTGTGATGCATTGTGGCATTGCCTCAGAGATGAACATTTGCCAGTGCCTACTGAAGAGATGTGGAGGAATACAGCCAGGAGGTTCCATGAACGATGGAATTTCCCTAACTGCTTGGGAGCCATGGATGGGAAACACGTATACATCCAGGCCCCTGCAAACTCTGGTTCTCTGTACTTTAATTATAAAGGTACGTTCTCCGTTGTATTGCTGGCCTTAGTTGATGCAGATTACCGCTTCCTGGTGGTTGATGTGGGGAGCTATGGCAGCAACAGTGATGGAGGCATCTTTGCTAATTCTGTGTTGGGAAAGGCACTCAGAGATGGAACACTGAATGTCCCCCCAACAAATGAACTTCCAGGTGCTCCTGAGCTGGGAAAAGTTAACCATGTCATTGTGGCGGATGAAGCTTTTCCCCTGAAACCATATCTCCTCCGGCCATACCCTGGACGCCGCCTCCCCACAGACAAGAGAATTTTCAATTATCGTTTGTCTCGGGCACGGCGCATCTCTGAAAATGTGTTTGGCATACTCAGTCAACGCTTCCGGGTTTTCCGAAGAACTTTGCAGGTTCAACCAAGTGTTGTTGACCAAGTTGTCAAAGCTGCTTGTGTTTTGTGCAATTATTTGCGCCCGAAAGGAAACGGTCAGAATCATGCCGCAGAGGATGACCAAGACTGTGAGCAAACACTACAAGGCTTTGAACATTGTAGGGGGCAGCGGGCATCTGTGGAGGCACAGAATGTCAGAGAACTGTACAAGGAGTACTTCAACTCGCCCGCAGGAGAGGTTGCTTGGCAGTATGACCATGTGAACCATGGTCTGGGGAACAGATAAAATCAAACTGTACATTTTGAGCCATGTTGATTACATTTCCCACTGTGAAAACCGCTATTGTGTGTGTCAATTTCTGTGAACTTGAATACACTATAAAATCTTTTTGCAAAATGTAAAGTATTTGGTCACTTATTTACAGCTAAACTTAAGTTGTGATTTTGAAAATGTGTATCTGTAATAAACATTTTTATAAGCATTTTCTTTAAAATCTTCTTTCCCAACATGGTTATGTTCCTGTAGATTGATAACGTGCCTATAAATGCAGTGACTCTGTAATTAGGCACATAGCTATTTTTAACAAAAGGTCAAGATGTACAAATGTTAAATCCCAAAATATGTTACATTAATTTCAAGTAAGTCACGTACACACAATGTCTTTTGAAAAAAATAAACATTTATTTTTTTCAATGAACTACAAGTTGCAATAATCAAAGTAAAAAAGGTAGTCAGAAAAGTTAGTGCAAATAAGTCACAATGACTAGTGCAAGTGAACAATAGTGCACATACACATTCAACCATTTCTTGAATGTAAGTAAAATACAAAGGCATATATATCTATATAAAAAAAACAGTAGAGCAAATAAGTCACAATGACTGCAGTAGTGCACATACACATTCATCTAATTCTTGAATGTTAATAAAATACAATGACATTTCTATATTAAAAAACAGCAGTGCAATGAAGTCAATAACAATAGTGCAAATGCAAAAATGCATATAATAAACTTCTTTTAGGGTAGCCAAGTTGTAGAGCAGCCATAGTTTGTTGGGGTCTGCGGGGTGACCTGACGATAGGACACCGGTGACTGCTGAGTGAAAAAAGCAGAAGAGGCCTGGCCAAACTCAGCATCATGCAACAGCTGATGTATTTTTAATTTGACCGAAGACTGTACGACTGGAGACAATCTCCTTAGTGCTGGTATCAAGCCAAGAGCAAACAAGTAATTATCATCATTTTGTTGCTCTCTTCTTTGCTCTCTGCGCTCCTCTTTCTCTCTTCTGCGTTCCTCTTTCTCACTTTCCCTGGCTTCTTTGGATAAGAGGTACCGGCCAAGGAAGTCTGGTGTCTCTGGCCGTTTTCTTTTTTTTTCAGTACACCTTGTCACAGTTGGGCCGGAGGATGATGATCCTGGAGACGTGCTTGCTGGTGCTTCTTCACTGTCGCTCACTTCTTTTCTGACCACCACTTGGCCAACCTCTTCATCCATATTTTCATGAGGAATATTGCTGTGAACACTGTAAAGACAAATTCAGTTTACATCAGAAACAATAACTCACACTGTGGCCCATGCCACACTTCATAGCCATCATGACAAAATACTCAAGAGCTCAATGTTTAATTACTAATTTAGTTTCGATTCATGCTAATTTTAATGTACCATATGTCTGGCAACACAATTTCAGCAGAGGTTAGCTATACACAGAACACAAACTAATATATTGAACTAGAGTTGTGATCGCATGGTGAACAGGGAACATGCAATGATATCATGTTAATGTTTAATGTCATTGTCAATGCATTATAGTATAGAGGGTTTTCAAGACGCGTCATCAATCCGGAAGTCGGACATTTTGGAGGCACTGAACATAAACAATGCCACTGAACTCAACGGACTCGCAAATTTAGCAGACTATTTCTGCTGAAAAATTGTCTTGTTTTTTTTAGTGTAACAATGTGTTCAGTAGTACATAAACAGTGCAATCCATGCTGTTGTTTACATCCGAGTGCCTCCATAATGGCCGCGCATCCGGAACGTGACGTTGGTGAAAACCCTCTATAGCTCACACAGCTATGTATTGTAATGTACTAATGATAATACCTTCGAAATTCAGTTGATGTTGCGAGGAACTCCATGACCTTCATAAATTTCCACGGCTTCTTGTTTTTGGCAGCCTGTCCACTTCGGCAATCATCTTCGCGCTTTTTTCTTGTATATGTATCGCGCAGGCTTTTCCATTTCTGTTTTACCTCCTCCACTACAGCACACAAATGGCGATCGTCAAACATTTGTGGGAAAAAGTTACAAGCATATGTACATGAAAGACAATTAAGTGAAATTAAACTCACCATCAAGGCTCATTTGATCTGCAATACCACTCCATAGCAGGTCTCTTTTGTCGATATTTTTGTAGTCGCTGTCGCGTTTATCATATAGCTCTTTATGCTCCGAAACCAACGAGACCAGCAGCTCAACATTCATCTTGCCTTGCATCTTCTTCTTCTTCTTCTTTGGCTGCTTAACGGCGGATGCGGACTAACTTTTGCTTTGCATCTTCTTCTTCTTCCGGCAGTATAGACGGTGGCGTATATCTTCTTCGCCGTTACGTTTGTAACCGTTTTGTGTTTGAGCGCCCCCAAGTTGTGTTTTACTGTAACTTCAGAAGCACCAGACACGTGAGCAAAAGCGCCAGTCTCATTGGTCGGAAAGTTTTTGACGCGGCGCGTCAAACTAAAAAAACGAACCCGAGGCGTTTTTTTTAAAATGACGCTTTTACGCGTGGCGTTTTACGCGTCGGTGTGAACACTCACATTGGCGCCCTTTGTTTAGTCACGAGGCGTTAAACGTCGGCGAATAACGCGCGCGAAATTCGTCCCGGTGTGAACAGGCCTTAACAACACTTGTAAATCACCAGTAGTCACGATTGTGATTTTAACAGTAAAAATACATATTGCGCAAACCATCACTCTAAAATGCTATTTAGTTTTACTCATTGCATAATCCATAACAAAACATCCCATGTATATATATATATATATATATATATTATACGTCCCTCGTACGGGAATGGCGTCCATAACGAAAACTGCAGAAAAACAAAATGAATATTAACATGAAACAATTGGAAATGGTGACCAAGTAACGTTATATCAAGATACTGCCGGCTCTTTAATTAAAGTTAGACTGCCACTGACCACTCGAGCAAAATAGCGACAGTGCGCTATTTGAAATGGGTATTTATTTTTTACAGTCTATGGTCAGGCTAACTTATATAAAATAAAATGTCACAACCCTGTCTCTTTTTGTGAGACCAAAGATAGCCCGTTAGATATACACAAGACGAATTATATCTCATGTTCAACCACTAGACAAGAGACCGAGACAGCGGCAACCGTCAAGAGCACTAGCCGAGGTAAGCCTATTCCAGGCGGGGTACAGGAGCGCTCAGCGTCCGGTGATCACCTCTGAAAACGTCAGATCAAATTTTTAAATAGGCGCTATCTTAATAAATAAACCACAGATTTGAGCTTTAAACAACTACATTGTCGACTGAAAAACTATTAAAACTACATTTCGTGACACAATAACAGTAGTATTTTTAAATTTCGCGGCTTTTCAGTTAGCTGCTAACGTTAGCTTATTTTACCTAGAAGTTGCAAACACAACTTGTAGAACTAACTTGTCACATGAGTTTACCCAGATAGTACCTTGCAGGATACATAACTATAAGGTGTCTGAAAATGCCTTTAAGAGACTTACATGACCTTCACGTTACAACTTACCAGCAAATTCAGATGGGTTGTAGGCTACACTTCAGCAGCTGAGGCTGCTTGGCTGAAGAGGCGCGTCCACCGGCCGGGCTCAGTCTCACACAAAGCCCGCCCTTTTACCCATATATGGATTGGCCAGACGATGGGCGGGGCTAGGATTTCCCAAGATTTTCCAAGATGGCGCCACCCATACCCCCCATAAACGGATTCAAAACCGTTCTTCAGAGAGTCTATGGGTGACGTCACAGACGCTTTGTCCATATTTTTTACAGTCTATGCTTACAATTTGTGATTTTCTCCTTCAGTGATTCTGCTTGTTAACATCAGGTGTCTTCATTAATGCTTAATCATCACTAAATTAATCACTTAATTATCTCATTAACTTTAACACTCTTGAGTGTTAATTTAACACTCATATCTGCATCATATCTTCCATCTGAAAGCAGGTGAAGGCAATTTACTACTAATCAAGGAACCGGCTTTACTGACAAGATGCGCATAACAATATCATGCGATATATCGCCCAGCCCTAAAGTAAGCTTGCATTGTATCATGAATACATAATTTTATTTCCACTTGTAAAAATAAAAACAGCCCACGTGTAGGTGTCACTATAGAGCAGAAAGGAGACGAAATTGTGCAATAACTAAGCTTATATGTGTTAGCCATATAGGCGTGTTAGCTGTTCACAAAGCTCGGGTGTTAATGCACGTTAATGGTGGTGCTACCCGCCATAAAATCGAATAAGAAGAAAGCTCGGGTGTTAACTTAGAGTTACCATTAGTAGCTAAATTAATTACTATCAAAACAGCAATAAAGGGAAAGGTAAGTTCTCATCTTACACTGAAGCCCAGTCGAATATTTTTTCGAAAAGGTGGCGGTGCTTGTCTCGCTGCTCCCACACGCGACATCGGCGTTTTCCTCCACCGTCCTGTATTTGGCTGGTTTTAAAATCGTTCTTTTGGTGCGTTTCATCTTTGACAAAAAATAAATAAAAAATTGATAGAAGCCACAAACAAACCAAATCATAAATGTAATCAAAATACTACCTACTGTCTTAACCACTGCTATCCTGTCCTGCTCCGCGCACGTGTGTGAAGTTGCTGTGAAACGATTCAAAAATAAAAGATTCACCGATTCAGAGTCGCGAAGCCTCACTAAAGCTGGGAATCGAGCAAACATTCACTAGTCACTACCATCAAGTAGCTACAATTTGGTATGGATTTTTTGCTTCTTATCCACATAAATGTGTGCGGGTAAACCGCCTAAGTTTTTATTTTTAATGTTTTTATTTTTAATAAAAGTCAGGCGAGACATCATCGCATCCAGCCGCATCTCGACAGTATGGGCAGGGGCAGAGCCCAACCAAAAAAGTCATCCAAATATAGACATCTATATGCACTGAATTAATAATAAATTATAAATGTGTTCAGCATTCTGAAACAAATATTTTTCGAATTTTCTAAACTATTTTAAGTCGTAAAGTGAGCAGGATATATTAAAATGAAGCGCATGAATTCGGCAGGCATGTATTGTATTGATACTAATCAGGGCAGCCGGTCTCAGGGCCCTCCCATAATTTATTTATTTTGTTGTTGTTGCAGAAAAACGATTAGGTCCACTGTCGCGTTTTCCTGTTTGCCTCAGTTTAAAGGTTTTATATTAGTTTTATAATTGTGTAACTTATACCTACTGTCGATTTCTATTACAGGCTTGTGTCTTTTCCGTTTTCGGATTTTAGTCCCAGGACTGCACTTCATTTTCTGTTACGTTAGTCATTCTCCCGTTGTTTGTGTTATTGACACATTTTCAGGTAAGCGATCGAGTTTGCTTAAAGTTGATTTGAATTTAATGTTAGCTGATATTGTTTGATTATATTATTATACATGTACTATTATTTATCAACTAAACTAAATTGATTGTTTGAACAAGCAAAGTTTATAATTATCAATTTAAGTAAACATGCAAAATTTTGTTTTGTTGGTCACACTCCCCATTCTAAAATGGTTAAGTGTGATTCATAATGAGAAAGCCTAGTGTGGCCTTACCTATGTTTCACCCGTTTCAATTGAAACAGGCCCCGCCCTCCAAGGGGGGCCCCAACAGACCAGCAAAATCCCATTCATTTTCTCCGTAGGATATTGATTTTCAGCCATAATGTCTAACCATTCAAGGTAGATTGACCACGACCTACGAGGTTGTGAAATGAAAGTTTCTGCTCCTATAAAAGCCACAAGCTACGGAATCTTGTTATTTGCAAAACACTGACGTCTCTGATTGGACGAACTCGCGGTTACCATGGTGACGTTCACCACCCCCGCGAACGGCTTAAGCGATCTGAAGTTTCATATCGGTAGTTTATGTATTTATACCTTTGCCTTTTTTGCCGTTAGGTTAAAATATTATTTTGAGCAGAAAAATTATTTTAAGAGGAAATGAAACATACGCCAGTGTTGCTGAAAAACGAAAGATATCGGACAACAAAAGAAAAGCTTCAGTCTATCAAAAGTTACTCTGCATGAAAGGGCGAGGCTTATTCCAACATACAACGCTGTATAATTGTATATAGTTTTAATCAAATAAGGTTGGATTATTTCTATGTTGAGCTGCCTATTCATGAAGCTGAAAAATGCACGTAATAAAATAGTATAGCCTACCATTGATGCAAACCAACAGGAATCCTTGGTTTTTCTGCTCTATTATATTTATGTTTTATGTGGGTAGGGGCCCATATTAGCTATTGAAACGGGCCCCCAGATGCTTAAGGCCGCCACTGCCTAGTGTAATTTTGAAACCGGCAAATTTGAAAGTTATGCAATGATCTACATGATATTTGATGATTATACAAATGAATAGGCATTTTGTCTTCTATAGCCATGGGCATGTTGATGGCAGAATTTGTCCACAAAATGGAGAAAGGGGGAAGAAAGCTGATTAAGTGGTTGCAGAAAAAAAGGCTACTTGCTCCAAAGATGAAGTGCCCTGCTTGTAAGCATCACATGAGAATGGCAAAATCAGCCTCTACAAGACTTGGTTATATTTGGTAAGTAACTGTGTACATATTTTGGTTACTTGTGTAATATGATTTAAACATACAACAATACAAACTCTTTGTATCATTGGTAACGTTTATCTAAATGTTGTGCAATATCAAATGTCATGTTTTTTTATTGTTGTATTATTTTTACATTTTTGTCTAATCATTTCCACAGGAGATGTCGAAGAAGCTGCCACGGGGACATTTCAAGATCCATAAAGAAGGGTTCAGTCTTTCAAGGTTCACACATGGATCTTTCAACCTGGCTCAAGATAATGCACAAGTCAGTTTTTTTGTTGTTGAATAAATTAGCTTAAATGCATTATTTTAGCATTTTTATGTGAAACAATAGGTATATTTTTACCTTTAGAGAATTATATATTTTTAGCTCAGTTTTTCTCACAACCTTCTGACATATAACACATTAATTAAATATTATTTTTAATTCAAGAATCACTGGATACATAATGTTGCATTGTTTTATTTTGTGAGTATTTTGAGTATC